TCCACCCAGCACAGCTGTCTGTACCATGTGCATCATCAGAAGTCATAGTGTTCTAGCACAAACGTCGTGAGTGCAGGTACTGTATACTAGCAGAGCGCTAAAACTTCTGAAGCTGTTGTCTGTAGCTCCTAGGAACAGCAAGTATGACAGGTGCAAAACCTATATTTGAGGCAGAAGACTCTTCAGTTTGATTGAGACCAGATCTTCCAAGGGGAAGAACCACTGTCAAGCCAAAATGATTCTTTCCACTTAAGAAAGCAATCTGCCCTTCCTAAAGGCTCTTGACTAATAGAATCCTACACATTATGTCAGATCCTCCATGGATTCTGGTAGTTGTTAAAAACACTATAAATGCTTCCATGTTTTCCATATCACTTAACCTTGTAATGTGCCTTCTTTGATCTGTTGAATAAAAAGATTCCTTTCATCTTCAGGTGTCCTTCCGTTCTGCGCCCGAACTATACAAGTGGGCCTGTGAAGATTTAGCATGTATATCAAATGCTGCTTCTCATTCTTTAGCTCTTCTATCTGGGCTTTTAATTCTGCATTGATAGTTTCCAGCTTTTCTGATTCCTAGTCACAAAGGACAGACACAACTATTAGACTGAGCAGTTCAAATAGTTAATTGCAATGTTCATTTAATAGTTGCAGTCTTATCAGTGGGAAAGCATATGGCTAGCAGAGAAAGAAATTGCCTGTTCTTAGTGTCCTGTAGTGGTGAAACTGTACATCCCCCAGCCAATAATAGTCTAAAAACCAGATTGATCGTTACCTTCTTTGGCCTTTAGAGAAGTGTAACGGAAGTTGAAAAGCCAAGTTCAGACTCATATTCACTTACAATGACAGGCACCCAAAGCATTATTGCCATCTTCTGCAAAGTTATTCTGAACTTTTTAGGTCAAAAGTTGACCCAAAATTATCTAATGCCTCATATAACCCCCTGGAACATCATGTCACAAACCTGTAAACACATGTTACACTAACAAAGCAAGGATGTAACTTTTTTCTTCCACTGCCCCTAGATACAGGAATAAAGACAGGCCTGATGCTGCTGTACTGTAGTTGTATATCATGGCAGAGCAGATGAAGACACGACTGGGGTCTTAGGACAGAGGATTTGGTGGTAATCTACTATGCCACTCATTTCATAAAGAAGTAGAAATTATTTGGCAGTGTTTGTAGGCTCCTGGTCTCCACAGTGAATATTACAAGAAATGAGATTTTACTTTAATTTGTATTCAGTGTACACATTCAGATTAATATTATCCCCATAGACAAGATCTGTCGCCGAAGCAGCAATCTCTTTTCACTCCTACCGTGCTTTCACTTTACTCCAGTTTTAACCAAGATTGGTTTTAATATATAACTTGTTCATTTTTTTATAACTAATGTTTTGAAGGGTTTACAGAGTTCTGGGTGACATCCTTCTGTATTTGCTACTATGACAGTACTCCATGCTATCTGCTTGGATCCTGGCAGGATAACAGATTAACAATTCAAGCCAGACACTTACTTTCTGTAAACATTCTGTTTTTTCCTTCTTTTTGTTTCGACACTTTGCAGCAGCAATTTTGTTCCTTTCCCTTCTTCGCTTTTTTCTTTCATCCTCTTCGGGAGAAAACTATCCCATAAAAAGAGATACACACAATCCATAAGATGCTATAAATACACGACCTGTATTTTGATAACCTATGCATTTTTAAAAGCAACACGCATAGTGTGGTCAGTACTCACACCATCAGTTACACAAGAATGTGATACTGACGTTACCTGCCGTACAGCAAAATGACAGTAACTCCATTAGAATGGTCAACAAAAACCTGACTGGAGTTTGGATGAATGTAATCCATGTGACAGCTCATTTTAAATCAATGGTACTTAAACTTGCCAGGTGTCTCCCCAAACTGACTTCCACACCTCCATCTTTCCTCCATTTCCCAAGGAGGAAGAGGAGCGAGGGGCATGGGGAGCAGAGTGGAGGATGTGTCATGAATGAGGCAGCAAGAGTGCAGCAAACTAAAGGTAGCACTGAAAAGGGGATATTAACACTCTCCTTCGAGTTTTGCTTTGTTTCCTGTGGAGGCTCAGACCAAGCCGTAGCTATTTCCCTAACTCAAGCTGTTTCCCCACTTTATAAGAGAAATTTTTTTCACACAGACTATTAAAGTAAAAACTAGTGTGGACACAGCACGGCGTGTCTATATTAGTCTGGCCCACGTGGGTCCTGCTGGACTGTCCTCAATGAAATAAAACTTCAGCAGTGACTTATTCTAAGTTCATCCATAAGTATGCAGAGAAATCAGATTAGTGCTTGCTCTAATCACTGCAAAACATTGTCCTTAGTCCATGATCAAAACCAAAACATCCAGCTGTAGGCCTTAACAGAAATGAGAAATACCAGAGGGTTTCCCAGAAGCACTTAACAGAAAGCCAAGCAGCAGGCTTAAAAGGATCGAGTATGGTGGAGATGGTTGTCTGTAGTTGACATAATTGCTGATCTTGCAGTGAAACTTTATTAGAGAACTAGTCACACTGAAATGCTATTTAGAGAGACATACCTCTGTTTTCATGATTGAGGTGTCAATTGGCCTTTCAGAAACTGTCACCGTGTCCAATGCAGAAGACATCCTGTGGGACTGACGCTTATTCTGAATGGCGAACCTCAGTTCCTCTTTCACCAGTGGGGTTAAATTTGTGAAATCATCAAACCCCAGTGACCCTGCAGGGGACAAAGTAGGAACAATTGCGGAGGCGCTGACTTCTAATGCAGATACCTGGCCTGAGTGTTGGACCATCATTTTGCTGAAAGGTAAAAAGAGATAATAATAGTCTTTTAACAACTTTAGAAAGGCAGATAATATCTCCTAGAGACATATTTTGTACTGTGAATAATACTGTTTTCTTGCATTGCTTCAGTCCCCACTCCCAGTCTACCCCAATCTCTCACTAGAGACAAGCAGTTAAGAATTCGATCACTAGTAAAAATTTCTACTTCATGTTAACTTAGACCTAGTATTTAAAAATACTAGTATTAGCATATCACACAATTTCTAGGTCTTTCTGAAACTTAATATTGAAAAAAAATTTGTGTGTATGTATACTGTGAAGTTTTAAACTGGTAATGTGTGGCAAATAAGAATTGAGTGAATAGGAAGAGAAAGAGAATAAGGAAAAAAAAAGATCAGAAAGCAAAGAATTATTGTTGTTATTATTTAAAGCAGAGAAGGAGCTTAATATTATCTCCATCCTCAGAGCTATAGCACCACAGATTCCAGCTTCATATGGACAGAGCGCACCTTGATCTCAGCTACGTTTAGGCAAAGCACAGTGAGTTCTACTAGAAGCTGAAGTTGGCTAATCAAGATGGGTTCTGTCACAAAATTACCATGCTCAATTTTACACAGAGTTGCAGATCTGGTTATAAACTCCTGAAAAATGGTTAACAAGAAGAGCTGGCACAAAGGTAAAAGTCTATACATGCTCTGCGGCTTCAAAGCACAGGCTGAGTTGAAGGGATTGAGTCACAAAAAACATGAAGCCGTTCGTTTCATTCCTTTGCTCTTGTAAAATTTGTAAATGTCCTCATGTACCCTCAAGAAGAGGTTTGAAATTCTTAAATATTTATGGTTGGATCTCCTGCTGATATAAAACAGTGTGACTGAAGAGACTTCAGGGGAATTATGCAAATGGACACCCACGGAGGAACCTCATTTCTAGTAGTTTTCCTAAGAAAATGAACCTACCCGGCAGTGCTCTCTACCTTCCTCTTTTTAGTCATTCATTTTCTAGCCAATTTTGGAGGGAGAGGGGCCCCCTACGTGCTTTGTGATAACTGGTGACCCCACTGAGGGAGAAAGAGCCAAAACTCAGCGGTCAGACATTCAAACATCGTGGGCAACCTAGCTAGCCAATGCACAGAGCTCTGAACGACACAAACCATCCCCCGCCCAGAAGAGGTGAGAGAACAGGTGTGGAAGAAAGCTGAGCACTTTTTGCGTGTGGCCCAAGGGACAAAAGGTGCAAATCCATGGGAAATCAGCTTGTATTACTTCCCTTATTCATAAAGCAACTTGTGTTAAATTGGATTTTACCACATATTGGTTTTCCAGCTTTCTTTGGTGTGTAGGTTTTGGGGTTTTTTTATAGCTGTACAAGTAATTACAGTGTGTGTTATCTACTCTTGATTAGAACTGTAGTAATTATAGCAAAGTCAACTGTAATTAACTTAGTGCAGGTAAGCAAATAGTTGCCTCGGGGTAGCAGTGTGGGTAAGTTAAATTTCCACATGGCCAACCCAGAACCGCACAGTTCCCCATACGCTACTTCTGTAACCCAGCAAGAAATGTTTGAGGTCACGTGCCTTGCCAAGAAGATACATTTTGCTCAGAGATATCTAAAAATACATTGTATATCCACACTGGTGCAAATGAGAATAGAATCTGGTTCATTGTTAAGTGAGGTAAATACAAAAATCTGAGGACAGTGAACTGCCAGTTGGTAGAAAATACCATGTCCAGCTGCAGTCTTCCTCACTTCTGCCTCACCCTGTCTCCACAGAAGAGCTGAACATTTCCCAGAGTCTGAGGGTAAAATCCTGAACCCACTGAAATCAAGAGGACTTTCTGTTGACCTCAATGGGGACAGGATTTCACCCGTAGTTATTAAAGATGAGGAAATTATTTGGAACAATTTGTTATTTAGAAAGACCTTGGGAAATTTATGTAATTCTCTTCAGAAAGCCCCTGCTCATGAGTCACATTTAAAGTACTGATACGGTTTAATCCTATAATCTCAGAAAGATAGCAGTTACTCTTTTCCAACAAGTCAGAAATGGCCCTATAACTTCCAGCTGAAGTCCTCCTAGCATTATTTACCATTTAGCCACATTCAACCATTCAAGTCATTTAAACAGGCTGATTCCAGATGACATCAAACCCTTCATTCCGAGCAGAAATTTCATCTATTTTCACTGAACAAGTCTCCTTGGCTGCCAGTGATGGCTTCACTCAACAGTTAATTCTGTATAATTCAATCAAACCAGGAGTGTTAAATTAACAGCAAAACTCTTTCTCCAGTCTACAAAGTAATTAATTGGGCTACTAATTTTTGAGCTCTGGTGTTTTATTCAATTATTTTTCTGTTTAGGTGAACTTTTAATTAAGGTCAGCAGCAACAGCAGAGGAAACCAAGAATGTCTGTGCCTGAGAAATTGTGTTAGTTGTGGATTTGTGGATTTCTAATAGTTAGTGCTAAGTGTACCACGAGCACCACCAAAAAGCTCACCCATCTGTCACTAGTGTAAAAAAAAAAAAAAAAAAAAAAAAAAAGAAGGGGGTAAGGTGCCCACAGGGAGGGAAAGCACAGAGAGGGAAGTGTCCTTGACCGTAGAAACTTGCTGCTGTCCTGCCTGAACAGCTCACTGACCTTCCAGACATCCTGAAAGGCATCTCTATTTACTCAGACTTTAGGGAAGGGAGGGCCTACCAGGGGCTGAGGTTTGTGTATGGATTTCTGCCATGAGCTGAGTCCCATTTTACAGAGCTTTTTGCTACTGGTTTGCTTTCCTGGGGCAGGGCTTCTGGACAGTGCCTACTAGGGTAGGCTTCCAGCCTACCACTGGGATCGTTAGGAGCCACCATGATACAAATAACAAAAATAACAAAAACAATCAGCCTTGTGTTAAAGCTGCTCAGTAAGCTGAATAGATTCCCTTTCCATCACAACAAGGTAGATGTTTTCCAATTTCTGAGGAACAAAGCTGCTTTTAGAAATGTTTTACAAGAAGAAAAACTAGATTTTGCTATTTTTAAAAAATGCAACAAGTTGCCCTTCCTTTATCCCAAGTTTTGTACAAATTGTACCTCTGTCTATAAGCCATCAAGAGCACTTTCTCATTTTTCTCTGAGTTTGCAAAGGTGGGGAAACAGCAAGAATAAGAATGACAAGCCTCAAAGCATGATTACATCTGGGCTTTTCTGATATGACCTCTGTTTACTTTGTTAGACCATGCACATGGACCTGGGCTCCAGGCTGCTTCAGGCAGTCCTGAAGTTACTGACATCAAAGGTGCTGAACATTTCAGACCTGCACCAAAAAGGAACAGCTTGTTCCCAGCATGATTTAATGCTTCATTACTTTATTTTAGTTTTGGAATTCTCCAAGAGAACAGCTTTTCTATTAATGGTACCATCCCAATTCAGGTAGATTCAAACAACTTTATTCATTCATTCTGCCCCCATTTTTTGTTTGTTCTTTTGCTGATGATTCTTTCCATCCACAGTGTTTTACATCTCATCTGCCAATATTTTAATTTCAGGACATACTTCCTAGCTGTGCATTTCTATTATTTAAGGGTAGTCTTGTTTAATGTTTAATATTAAAAGTGACTACTCTGAGAGTCTTTTCTTCCTTGCTTAACTGCAGATGGCTGGCTGTGCCTTTTGGTTTTATTTCTTCATAGAAATTCCTTTTCCTCTGGTGCTGATGCAATAAACCCCGATAACCATTGAGGTTAATCTTAAACAGCATTAAGAGCAATTACAGTTCACAACCTCTGTGCACGCTGGGTGACCTTAAGCTTTCTGACATCCCACATCATTCCCCAACCATTTTCTCCTGCCTCCTAGCTCCTCAAGTGCCGCTACTAGGAGGAGAATGAATTTCCAACAGGAAACTCGTTCTCTGAAACAAGTTTGCCGTTGTGTCACGCCTGACTTGATTAGGCAACAGTTTAGCAACTGAATCTTCTTCATGTCAAGACATGGGGACAGAACGAAAATTGAGCGTCCCGGGCTCACGCCGGGAGCTCCCGCTCGTTTCGCGTACGTACAACAGACACACCTCTACGGGGCAGCGCGGGGGATACTC